CTCCCGCAATTACAGCATTCCGGCGCTTGCAGTATCAGAATAACAACAATAATGCTACAATCAACTTATGATTATACATTGGTCGCTGAGACATTACTTAATTGAATAATGCCGGTGACGCAATCCTAATCTGACATGTGTTTTTGTCAACAACCGGGTGACCAATCAATGATTGGTGACCCTCAGAGAGGCGTGACACACTTGAAAGGTCAACACTCGCACTCAGACAAGAGTGTGGGAAAATCCTAGCAGTTTTAATTCTTTTTCTTTCATGAATTAGAACATATTTACTTTATATTTTAATTGACTTTAATATTATATTATTATTATTTTATTAATTTTCTTAGTTCTTAGTAAGTTAGGGAGTGGACTGTATATACTGATTCAGCTGCTAGAATTAATCACACACAATTGGGGGGACAATTTGTAGTTTAAACTACTTGGAAGTGGATCCTTCATAAACCACAAATTGTTTACTAGTCTTTGATATCAATTATAAATCATACCACATATGATGGTCTAATCTACCATTATTTCAGCAAATTAAATTAATAACTACTAATACTATGTCTACAGTATTAAACACAAAAGGGCCTTAGCTGCTATTGTTGTTGGGGCCTGCTAAGGCTGTGTAATGGTAGCATCAGAATTGGGTGTGGCCCTGTGCCTTAGAGTGCCACGCAATGGCGGCTGTCTGGAAGTCTACAAGGCTTGTTGTTCAGCTAGTGGTAGCTATTCCTACAATTATGTTGGGCGCCAGCTTCCTGCTTCACTAACTTCCTCAATTTTACCGGTTTGGGATGTAAGGAATTAATAATGGTTCCCTAAATATATAAGTACAGGTATGACATGGAATATGTGTGTGTAGAGTTGAGAAATCTCACTGTGTTTAGGGATTTAATCCCACGTCTTAACGATATTTCCTACAATAATAATGGCCAGTATTACATGCAATAGAAATACCGAAAATTGTTCTTCCCTTTGTTTATGAGATCTTCGGTTGGGCGGATCATAGAGGATACTGTGTCGAAGCTCAGAGAAAGAACCTTTTGTGTTGTAAAATTCGTGAGGGAGAGCTTCCTCCCTGTGTTTACAAGTTGCTGTGTTGATTTAGGGGCGACGACGATCGTGGGATCGGATGCGCCCCGGCTGCCCGATACCGGGAAATAGCGGAGGGATAGGGTCTCTATAGTCTCTTCAGGCCATAGACCCTACAAACTCCTGAAGCCAGAAATTTTACAGTCTCTTCAGGCCACAGACATGAGGGATGAAGCAGACAAGTTGCTGTGTTGTTTACATGACGACGCTCCAGGGGAGACATCCTAAAATATTTGGTGGTTCTATTTATGTTTAAGGAATAGAGTGTTAAGCTATATTCCTGGTGTTGGAAATTATATTCAGTCCTCGTGAACACTTTTTTATTAAGTTTAAACACTAGACTGTTGTTTAAAGGAAATTAGAGTTAATATAAATACGTGACGTCGATGACGTCACGGAATCACCCATTCTCTTTTCCTTTATGGGGGTAACTTATGTTATTATGTGTGTTGGATTTCCGACAAAGGCTTAGGTGATAAACGCTTCACAATCTCGTCTTGATCACAGAGGAATTGTTATGACAACTCTGCCGATACATGTGTGGGATGATTACTGTTAATCACCACACGAGACATACACAATGAAATTAAATCAGGATCCTTCACTTATATTAATTCACTCCACATATTCATCACCCAGACATTAACGTTGGTGCCCTGGCAGCACCACTAATGGCTTCCTTACATTTTGAGGAAGGAGTTGCAGATATTGACAGAGGATGAGCGTCTGGGGCGGCGCTCATGAGGCACGTACGTCCACCCGCAAGTTACCTCAGAGATCACGGCCTCTCTCACACACTTGAGAACAAGGCCTCACGCAGTCTCATATATAGTTGACAAAGTACTTCTTTCCACACTGGATGTATTTGATGTTAAGCACAAAACTACAGTCCCTCACTCGTTGAGCTACTGTGACAACACACCCACACTATAGAGGCGTGTACACGCACTTACATACACACCGTTGAAAGGCAGGACCAAAGAGCTGAAGCCCAACCCCAGCGATCAGAATTAGGTGTGCACAGGGACGTTACCGTCCCGTAGCCCCTTGAGATGAAATCACTGTCTTTATACTGCACACATGTATAGCGTCGTACACTACCCGGACACAAACAGAGGTGTGTACACTACCCTACAAGACGCTGAAGCCTAGTACCTTTTCAGCAATGGGAGGGGTAACGTCACTGCTTCCTCGACCCCCTGGTACACTGAACTGTATGGTTAAGATTTAATTACTTGTCACTGGCTCTTAGGGTAGTACAGGACAGTGCCTTCACTCCCACACACATGAGGCATTGGGATACACTGTTACTGTCCTGTGTACTGAACCTGTGGCAACTCCATTTAATTCTTTGGCTCAGTGTACTCCAGTTGAGCTGGCGACTCCCGCTCTTGTTCTTGAAGTCCCACAATGCCCAATGGTAGATTATCCAGACACCCCTACAGTAACCAGGAATTATTCAGACACACCTAAAGTAACCAGGTATTTTCCAGACACACCAACAGTAACCAGGGATTATCCAGACACTCCTGCAGTAACCAGTTGTTATCCTGACACAGCTACAGTAACCAGTTAGAAGATTACGACAGCCTTCTGAAATCAATGTTAGAAAAAAACCTCAACCTTTCTGAAGGGGGCATCTTGGTCCAAAAAATGCAAAAATAAAAACTCGTTCAATTTCAATCAAACTTTTTTGACAAGTTCTATATGAAAAGTGTTTCATCTGGTCCAAGTTTCAGCATCGTAGCATAAATAGGAAGGGAGAAAAAAATATTGAAGTAGTTGTGAAAATTATGCCAAAATGGTCAAAATCGATTATCAATCAAAAGTGTCAACTGAAATCATAGCTATGACTCTTTGCTATCACAATAGCATATATTAAACAAATATTATAATTAGTTTAATTGGAAAAAAATTTAAGAATTTTTTTTTTTTTTTCATTTTTTTCGGGCGATTTGCATCAAACTTACACACCTGACTGTACGTAAGCCTATCTGTAAGGATGCCAATTTTGGAGAAAATTGGTTGATGTCAACCTCAGCCACAGATTTTAGAACCTTAGACTTTATTCTTTTTTTTTTTCAATTGACACAAACGTTTACAAAACTGATTCATTTTTTATTCAATTTACATGAAACTTACACAGTATATGTGGAGGGCATGTCTCTACATTTGCTTGTTTTCATTTTTCTCTAAGTTAATTTATTGATTTTATAATAGCAATAAACATGCCATATTTGCATAATTTTTGGGGGGAACTTTGAACATTTGTATTAGGAAAACTAAAGATGTTTTGGAAATTCTAAAGCACACAATCCTTTATTATATGCTAATGTGTCAGAAAAGTGTCACAGAATAATTATATCTGAAACGTGTGTTCTGAAGTGTGGACTTGAAAATGTGTAAAAACCGTTGAAAAAAAAAATCTCCCTTTCTATTTACGCTGCAGTACTGAAACTTGGGACAATTTCAGCACTTTTCATATACTGTACAACTAGTCAAATAATATTGGTTGACATTGAACAACTTTTCCAACACCACCCTAATGCCATGCAAGACACGGCGAGGTTAACAACATTATTAAGAGGAGCCTTACAACACCCGGTTGTCCAGCAGAGAGAGAACCTCGTTACCTAATGCCCCGCAACTCTGATGAGCCGGTCGGTTGCCCAGACGGGATCATGGTGAATCCTCGGAAGTATGGTAGACAGTTGGTGTGGGATTACACTTGCGTTTCAACTTTAGCAAACACCTATGTTGACTTCAATGTTACACAGACAGGCGGCGCTGCCAATCACCGGGAAGCAGCCAAGTCTCGTAAATACAGAGATCTTGATCACCATTACAATTTTGTCCCCATTGCCTCAGAGACACTTGGTGCCTGGGGTAAAAGTGCTGCAAATTTTTATTTAAGAAACTGGGTTCTAAGCTAATTGAAATAACTAGAGACCCTTAGAGTCATCAGTTTCCTCTTTTAGCGCCCTAGTATGGCAATCCAGAGAGGAAATGCATACTGCATCCATGGTTCCTGCCCGCCATCTGAGGAGCTGGAGGAACTCTACAACTTGTAAATAAGTAGCCTTGTACCCCTGCATGTAACCAATGTTGTAACCAATTTTGTGGAATTAAATTTTAAATAAAAAAAATGACAAAATACAAAAATATAGGGATATATGAGAATATATAATATATATGTGAGAATACTCAGGTGCCCTACAAGGCTCCCCCGGATGCTTCATATCGTCTAATTCGATGTCGAAATTTCCTACAAATGCAACCAGAGGTGGTACCCCCTATATATATGTATGTTTAAAATAATAATAATAATAATAATAATAATAATAATAATAATAATAAAATCCATAAGAGCCGTGATGAGGGTTCGTACCTATGTGGTGGGTATTTCCACACACATGCGCTAGCAACTAACGTGTGTGTGTCTGGGAACACTCTCCACATAGGTTCGAACCTTCATCACAGCTTCTACGGATTGTCTCATTGATACAGTCACATTAGTGTGATTACTCTGTGTAATAATAATAATAATAATAATAATAATAATAATAATAATAATAATAATAATAATAATAATAATAATAATAATAATAGTAATAATAATAATATTAATAATAATAATAATAATAATAATAATAATAATAATAATAATAATAATAATGACAATAAAACAATATCTGCAGGAGGCGCACTTCTCAACCAATCCCTTCAGTATCACCGCCAGCAGAATGGAGGTGGTGGACATGACCTTTCCTCTGGCTATAAGCTACCTCACTTTTCTGGCTGGATATGGTGTGGTGGAGGTTGATGCCTGGGGCTTCCATCTCCCGTTCACCCCGCTGGTGTGGGCAGCAGTCTTCGCCTCTCTCCTGGGGATAGTGGTCGCAATGAATGTTTTATCATCGTGTCCTTCTAAAGAGAGCATGAAAAAGGAAAACCGTCTGGATAAACCCTTTAACTTCATCAAAATACTCCTTCAGCAAGGTGATATAATAGACAGCTGTCTAGGTTTATATCTACCCTCAGTCATTGCTTGAATATAATGCTGCTAGACAACTTTATAAAGTCACTATTTTATCTACTCCTATGGTTACTTTTCCTCAGTTCACAGCCCTTCTCCAAATTTTTTTTTATTTCCAATGAATAATAATGAATAGATTTAATTTTAAATTTGACGTTAATTTAAAAGAAATATGCGAACACTAAGAATTTTTATTTTATTTTTATTTCGTTGATGACTAAATAAAATATAGTTTGGTGTTTGAAAACACCAAACATTCAATTCATTGGAAAGTATATACAAGGTAAGTCATATAATTAAAATATATTTTATTAAAGATTTATGATAATATTTTTAATACAAAAACTTAAAATATCATAACACCGTTTTTATCTATGATTTTCCAATATATATTACTTTTTATCCGGTTACAGTAAACATTTCACACAATACACAAATGAGCACTTTTTACTAAGTAAAAATTCTTATTTTGAAATAGTTACAGATCATATATTGTATCTTAGGTGAAGAATAAAAACATAACACTAGAATTGGGATTTTTGTATTTAATTATTATGAAATATATTTAATATTGCTATAAGAATCTATATAGAACGTCAGTTCTATAAGAAACTCCAAAGAAATTACGTTCTTTGTAGTTTCTATACGAAACTACAAAAAATTACGTTTCATTAATATTCATATGATGTGTGTTAAACAAAAGAGCTTAAACATGATTATACTGGATATTAGGAAACATACTTACATATTATTGGCTATATATCTAATCAATATAGATATGAAAACATTTTGGAGAGCAAACATGGCTCTGGGCCCTCAAATGCAAACATGATCAATTCCAACGTAATTGAACGCAACAAAAGGCTAATACAATTCAGCATTTGTTATTAGTGAAAATGGAGTGTATCAACAGTCTGAAGCTACCAGGCTTATGTTATGAATGAGTAGTTGAAAACGTGATATGACACTAAACTTCCATGACTGTGATGTTATATATTTATATCTTAAATATTTACCAGGAGTTGTTGTAATTTTTCCCGTTGAGTAACAAATGATATATTTGCTTCTCTGGCAGTTCAGTAAAAACTCGTGAGAGTTAAATGTGTGGTTGGCTTGCCACAGCTAACTTTTGATCATTGTGTTGACATACATGACTCGTCCTGCTAATTGTCCTAGTAAACTATTTGTTGGCAGTTCCCTGTTGCTGTTCTACATGGTTCACTGACTCATTTACCAAGGTCGGTGAACTTATGTAGACATACATCAGGTTGAGACAACACTTTACTGAAAATAACGTTCACCTTATCAGAGTGTTATCAAATCTACCATATACACAAGGTTTATTGTTTATGATGATTTTTGTGTCGCAAGAGCTCATAAGGAATCCCTTCTAATTCCGTGAACGATATAGAAGTTATGTCGTTAACACCAACAAGGCTGTTGCTTGTTGGTCTTATTAACACCAACAAGTGTTTTTGTTGATAGCATCAGCACTTGAAGTGTTGATTCAAGATCTAGTGTCGCCACACACTTGATCTACAAGCAATACTTTAAGCATTTGCATGCATTATATCATAGCAACACCACTCAATAGATTCAGGAAGATTATGCACTGTTTCCTCTTTTTATAAATTAATTATTCAAAATATAATTCTTCACTTCTCTGATTCTGCAAACATTCCACATTCGCTTTCTCCTGATAGTTCCCTTCCCTTTCCTTTTGGTATCCTTATATCCATTCTGGAATTATTGCTATATATGTGTCTTGGCCCTTAGGCAACGTCTCACGTACGATTCCATTATTCTTTTAATACTTACTGTAATGTTTGTCGACCATTCCTGCAATGCACATGTGAGAGTAGCTTCCATCCTGGGAACTTCTTGTAATATAGTGTTCAGTACCTCACATATTTTATCGTCGAGTGCATTTAGGTGTTATAACATTAGCATTGTTGTTGATTTCAACTTTAGTCAAATAAATACAATAAATATCGAAGAAAGTATTTTTGAAGGAGCATGAAGTGGCTATTGCTGTTTTCCCTATCTTTGTTATGATCTGTTATTACCATTAGAAAGCCCATCATTTTGCTAAAAGCTTGAACTTTATTTTATTTTAATTTAATAAATTGATGTTTTTTATATTTTCAAATTACAAGCGACAGCAAAAAAATATTAATGGGGAAGTTTCCATGTAGTATTTTTGTTTGATTTTGCTTTGAAAACATGAAATGTAAGGTAGTTAAATACAACTCCGGGGAAAGTGTATAGAGAGTAAGACATATAAGTAGAAGAGATAGTGTATTTTTTATTGTAAAGTTCAAGTTGCAATAATTAGGAGGAGGAGAAGCTGTTACCCAAGCAGCAGGTACCCTCTCTCCACGGCGCCGAAAGTTTCCAATGGAATGGCAAACGCCAATACGGCATTACAATCGTCTGCGTCTTAGTATCATCCCTAAACATGTTCATATAATTCTGTATTACTTATAGTAGATCGTTTATGTTGATGATGAACATTACTGGTGCAAGAACGGAACCCTGTGGTACTCCGTTAGTAACATTTCTCCAATCAGATACATTGTCTCTGATTACTGCCCTCATCTGTCTGTCAGTTAGAAAATTTTTCATCCATGTCGGAAGTCTCCCTGTCACCCTTCCAGCATGTTACAGATTCAAAAACAGCCTCTTGTGTAGGATTCCCTGCAGTCATCCAGTACTTTTGGGTGGATGAGTGAGAGAGAGAGAAAGAGAAAGGAACAATGGGAGGGAGGTAGAATGCTAGGGAGAATAGGAGGATGGATGAAGAAAGGAAGGGAGGGATGTAGAGTGAAGAAGAGAGGGAGGGAGGGAGAGAGAGAGACATACAGACAGACAGACAGACAGAAAGACTGTCCCGTGCACTGCCGGGTAACCTATATCTCTATAAAAGAGAGTCTGCCTGTTTGTTTGTTCAAGACTGGAAGGCAGACGTTTGCGGGTTGGCTCACACAACTCTACATAGTGACTCACAATTTTGGAAGATAAAAAAAGTGGTCGGGTCTGGCCTCTTCGCCCGCACTTAGTGGGCCTCTTCACCAAGTTGGTGGATATGAAATGTTTCACCAAAAGTAGAGTTCAGCATTCGTTCCAATTTTATTCAGATATTTACATGCAAATCAAATTTTTAGACAGCAGATTTGGGTTCTGGTTAAATCTGTTCATTATAATGATATAAATATTGTGTACTGAAAATGTTTGCATGGATAGGGAGATATAGAGAGAATGTATGAGTTGAGATAGAAACAATGTGAGAAAGAGGAGATGAAAGAGGGGGGAAGATGCTTACAGTGATGAAGACTTTGTATTGAGAAAGTTATAGTGATGACTTTTACAGTGATGAGGAGAAACAGGGAAAGTTGTTTGAAGGGGGAGAAATGGGAAGGTGTGTGGGGGCTGGAGATGGGGTTGGGGAGACATTGAAGGGTGTATGGGAGAGGACTGGGTATGGGGTCGTCCCGGGCACGGCTGAGTACTCAATCCAGTAAGTTCTAAAATTTTTGGCGATGGGTTGTCATCTGGATGTGGCTTGATGACAAAAAAATTTACCTCCATCTATGCATTCACACCCACTCCCATCCCATAAAACACACTTAGTAATTTTTTAAATTAAATATTCTTTAAAATCTATAGAGTTATAGATTATTAGAAAAAGGCATATAAGTTTCATTTCATTATTTTGAATATAGAGACAGGGAAATGCATTCATGGTGGCGTGGGTGGGAAGTTAGCCGCACTATGAACCTAATCTCTTCTTAACAGGCAGTCTAGGAAGGCTCTGTTGGATATCAAAATAAATCAAACTCTAACATTTTCTTATGAGTTTATTACAGCCATCTGCTGTAACGATCGTTGAGAAAATTCCTCCTGTAGGAAACACAAGGGCAACAATGTTCTATATTATTTCAAGGCAAAATAAAGTCAATTTATTAAGACAAAGGTAATTATGTTTAATCAAAAATTTTTTCTTTCGTCAGACTTCTCTGAGGCGACGATGTGGTGGTGGGAGCGAGTGTTGTGGGGAGTGTGGCTCCTGGTGAACCTGCTACTCTCCCGCAGCTACAGCGGTAACCTCATGTCCTACCTGGCAGTCAGGTACATACCCAAGCCTTACCCAACTATTCGAGAGTTTCTGGACGACCCGTCGGCCATCCTGGTATGGCAGCAGCACTCCTCCACTGAGCAGTACATACGGGTAAGCGTGTGATCGCTGCTCGACCGCACCAGCCAAATGAATTCCTACATAATCATATTTATAATGTTTAGCTTCCCTTCATTAGGGAAGCTACATGTACACGGATCACTACTTACAAGAGCATTAATTCTATGAACAGTTTCTGTTATTACCATTGTTGATGTCATTGACTAAAGGGCTCATTTGAGAGTTTGTGAAATCTGTTGTTTTCTTTTTATCAACTTTTGTTAGTATTCATAACCATCACAAAAACCTACGCCAAAATTTATAATTTCTTCAGAAGAAAATATAAATATCTCTATATTATGCCAACTTTTATTTCTCTTAATTCATATTTATTACTTGGATACATGTTTTCTAGGCGCGGGGTTATGGTTTAACCCGGGAGCTGGCAGCCCTGGAGGAGAAGGGGCGGGTGATGCGCGTCTCTGTCAACCAGATATCCAGCAAGAATGAGGCCACGCTAGTCAAGCGAGCAAGCCGCGTGATCCTCTTCTTCGAGATTATCTTATACACTCTCCTCAGTCAAGAGTTCTCTAAATCAGGTTGATACAATGGAGAGACACGGCACTACAACACAAATATTTAATTTTTACAGCTCTGAAATTTTTTATTATAATATAATGATAAAGTTTTTTTTTGGTATTGATAATGTGATTCACATCTTTAAATGGATTCTGTTTTCACACAGGACGGTGCGAGTTTTACATCTTAAAGGAAAGGTTCAACCCCAGTATGAGCGGCATGATGGTTCCTAAAGACAGTCCTCTTCTAAGTGCTTTTAATGACAAGTATCAAAATAGGGTTCCTTTAATCTTCCTAAGTATGTGTGTGTGTATTCACGTAGTGGTGCTTGCGGGTGTTGAACTCTACTCTTTCGGCCCGCCTCTTAACTGACAATCAATCAACTGATTTTTTTCATACACACACACACCCATGAAATAGCCTGTAACACCTGTCTAACACCCAGTTACCTATTTACTGCTAGGTAACAGAGGCATCAGGTTGAAAGAAACTCTACCCATTTGTTTTTTGCCACCGCCTGGGATCGAATCCGAACCCATGGATTACAAATATCATGCGCTGTCCACTCAGACACTGGCCCCATGTGTGTGTGCGTGCGTATGTGTGTGTGTGTGTGTGTGTGTGTGTGTGTGTACTCACCTAGTTGTGTTTGCGGGGGTTGAGCTCTGGCTCTTTGGTCCCGCCTCTCAACCGTCAATCAACAGGTGTACAGGTTCCTGAGCCTATTGGGCTCTATCATATCTACACTTGAAACAGTGTTTGGAGTCAGCCTCCACCACATCACTTCCTAATGCATTCCATTTGTCAACCACTCTGACACTAAAAAAGTTCTTTCTAATATCTCTGTGGCTCATTTGGGCACTCAGTTTCCACCTGTGTCCCCTAGTGCGTGTGCCCCTTGTGTTAAATAGCCTGTCTTTATCAACCCTGTCGATTCCCTTGAGAATCTTGAATGTGATGATCATGTCCTCCCTAACTCTTCTGTCTTCCAACGAAGTGAGGTTCAATTCCCGTAGTCTCTCCTCGTAGCTCATACCTCTCAGCTCGGGTACTAGTCTGATGGCAAACCTTTGAACCTTTTCCAGTTTAGTCTTATGCTTGACTAGATATGGACTCCATGCTGGAGCCGCATACTCCAGGATTGGTCTGACATATGTGGTATATAATGTTCTGAAAGATTCCTTACACAAGTTTCTAAAGGCCGTTCTTATGTTAGCCAACCTGGCATATGCTGCTGATGTTATCCTCTTGATATGAGCTTCAGGGGACAGGTCTGGCGTGATATCAACCCCCAGGTCTTTCTCTCTCTCTCTACCTCTTGAAGTATTTCATCTCCCAAGTGATACCTTGTATCAGGTCTCCTGCTTCTTACCCCTATCTTCATTGCATTACATTTGCTTGGGTTAAACTCTAACATCCATTTGTTCGACCATTCCTGTAGCTTGTCCAGGTCTTCTTGAAGCCTCAAGCTATCCTCCTCTGTCTTAATCCTTCTCATAATTTTGGCGTCGTCAGCAAACATTGAGCGGAATGAGTCTATACCCTCTGGGAGATCATTTACGTATATCAGAAACAGGATAGGTCCAAGGACAGAGCCCTGTGGGACTCCACTGGTGACTTCACGCCATTCTGAGGTCTCACCCCTCACTATAACTCTCTGCTTCCTATTGCTTAGGTACTCCCTTATCCACTGGAGCGCCCTACCAGTTACTCCTGCCAGTTTCTCCAGCTTATGCATCAACCTTTTATGGGGTACTGTGTCAAAGGCTTTCCGACAGTCCAAAAAAATGCAGTCCGCCCATCCTTCTCTTTCTTGCTTAATCTTTGTCACCTGATCATAGAATTCTATCAAGCCTGTAAGGCAAGATTTACCCTCCCTGAACCCATGTTGATGGGTTGTCACGAAGTCTCTTCTCTCCAAATGTGTTACTAGGTTTTTTCTCACAATCTTCTCCATCACCTTGCATGGTATACTGGTTAAGGACACTGGCCTGTAGTTCAGTGCCTCTTGTATGTCACCCTTTTTAAATATTGGTACTACATTAGCAGTCTTCCATATTTCTGGTAGGTCTCCCGTTTCCAGTGACCTACTATACACTATGGAGAGTGGCAAACAAAGTGCTCCTGCACACTCTTTCAATACCCATGGTGAGATTCCATCCGGCCCAACAGCTTTTCTCACATCCAGCTCCAATAGGTGCTTCTTGACCTCATCTCTTGTAATTTCGAACCTTTCCAAAGTCACCTGGTTTGCTGCCACCTCTCCTAGTGCCGTGACTTCTCCCTGTTCTATTGTAAAGACCTCCTGGAACCTTTTGTTGAGTTCTTCACACACCTCTTTGTCATTGTCTGTGTACCTGTCCTCGACCACCCTATGTTTCATCACCTGTTCCTTCACTGTTGTCTTCCTCCTGGTGTGACTGTGTAGTAGCTTTGGTTCGGTCTTGGCTTTATTAGCTATATTATTTTCATACCTTTTCTCAGCTGCTTTTCTCACACTAACATACTCGTTCCTGGTTCTCTGGTATCTCTCTCTACTTTCTGGTGTTCTGTTATTACGAAAGTTCCTCCATGCCCTTTTGTTCAGCTCCTTTGCTTTCATACATTCCCTATTAAACCACGGATTCTTCCTTTGCTTCTCTGTTTTTTCCTGTTGGGCTGGGACAAACCTGCTTACAGCCTCCTGACATTTTTGGGTGACATAGTCCATCATGTCTTGTACAGACTTGGTTCCGAGTTCTGTGTCCCAATGTATATCCCATAGAAATTTATTCATCTCCTCATAGTTTCCCTTTCGGTACGCCAGCCCTTTGTTTCTCAGTTCTTTTCTGGGGGTGACAATTCCTAGCTCAACCAGGTACTCAAAGCTCAATACACTATGATCACTCATTCCCAAGGGGGCTTCCAACTTAACTTCCCTTATATCCGACTCATTTAGGGTAAATATCAGATCAAGCAAGTTCATCCCCTCCCCTCGTTCTTGTCGGTCCCTTGATGTGTTGACTTAGAAAGTTTCTTGTTGCCACATCCAGCAGCTTAGCTCTCCACGTGTCTGGGCCTCCATGTGGGTCTCTGTTCCCCCAATCTATCTTCCCATGATTGAAGTCTCCCATGATTAGAATCTTGGATCCTTTCCTGCTAGCCACAGAAGCTGCTCTCTCTATTATATTGATGGTGGCCAAGATTTTTCTATCATATTCCTGTCTGGGTCTTCTGACATTCGGTGGGGGGTTATATATGACTACTACTATAATTTTCTGTCCTCCAGTTGCTATGGTGCCTGATATGTAGTCACTGAAACCTTCACAGTTCTGAATTACCATCTCTTCGAAACTCCAACCTTCTCATAGTAGCAAAGCTACACCACCTCCTCTCCTTTCTCTCTCTTTCCTCACTACATAGTAGCCCTGTGGAAACACTGCGGTTGTTATGGTGTTTGTTAGCTATGTTTCTGTGAGTGCTATTATGTCTGGACTTTCTTCTAGTGCCCATTCTCCGAGTTCACTTGTTTTATTTGTAATTCCATCTATGTTAGTGTACATTGCCTTGAAGCTCACTTTCTTCAGTTCATTTTCTTGTCCCTTTCTTGGCGAGCATTCTGCTGGTGTGGGAAGCTTTTCGGTGGGTGAGATGATCTGTGAGGTGGTTTGCAGGGTTTCAGGGGAGTTTGGGGTGAGGGGTGGGGGTTTCATGGAAGGGGGGACAGGTAGGGTGTGGGTTAAGGAGATAGGGGGGATATGGAGGATACGGTGTGAGGGGGGAGGAGGGATAGGGAGGGTATGGGATGAAGGGGGAGGGGGACAGGGGGGGAAAGGTGGGAGGGGGGACATGATGGGAATGGGGAAGGGATGACAGGGTAAGAATGGGGTTTTGGGTGGCGGCAGGTAGGGTGAGGGGAAGGGAGGGTTTCTATGCAGAGGGGGTGGTTGGGTTGCCCTCCCCTCTGGTGTTGCTAGGATGCTGGTTTTGGGTTCGCCTCTTGTCTCTAGGACTGTTGTGTTGGTGGCTGTGATTTCCTGGTTTGCTTTTCCCTCCCTGCACTTCCTCCTTGCTTCTGCTGCCCTGGCTCTCTCCTCCTTCGTCCTGTCCCTCTACAGGAATACTTTCTTGTATCCCTCCACATGCTGCAGTCGACTCTTCCTTTCGAGAATATCCTCCTTCGTGGTTTCGTTTGTAAACACCACCTTTACAAGTCGGTTTCTGTCCTTGTTGTACCAGCCCAACCTGAAAACCTTTATGTGTGTGTGTGTGTGCGTGTGCGTGTGTGTGTGTGTGTGTGTGTGTGTGTGTGTGTGTGTGTGTGTGTGTGTGTGTGTGTGTGTGTGTGTGTGTGTGTGTGTGTGTGTGTGTGTGTGTGTACTCACCTATTTGTATTCACCTAATTGTGCTTAGGGGGTTGAGCTCTGGCTCTTTGGTCCCGCCTCTCAACCGTCAATCAACAGGTGTACAGGTTCCTGAGCCTATTGGGCTTTATCATATCTACACCTGAAACTGTGTATGAAGTCAGCCTTCACCACATCACTTCCTAATGCATTCCATTTGTCAACCACTCTGACACTAAAAAAGTTCTTTCTAATATCTCTGTGGCTCATTTGGGCACTCAGTTTCCCCATGCGTCCCCTAGTGCGTGTGCCCCTTGTGTTAAACAGCTTGTCTTTATCTACCCTATTAATTCCCTTGAGAATCTTGAATGTGGTGATCATGTCCCCGCTAACTCTTCTGTCTTCCTGCGAAGTGAAGTTTAATTCCCGTAGTCTCTCCTCGTAGCTCATACCTCTCAGTTCGGGTACTAATCTGGTGGCAAACCTTTGCACCTTTTCCAGTTTGGTCTTATCCTTGACTAGATATGGAATCCATGCTGGTGCTGCATACTCCAGGATTGGCCTGACATATGTGGTATACAAAGTTCGGAATGATTTCCTACACAAGTTTCTGAATGCCGTTTTTATGTTGGCCAGCCGGGCATATGCCGCTGATGTTATCTGCTTGATATGGGCTGCAGGGGACAGGTCTGGCGTGATGTCAACCCCCAAGTCTTTTTATCTCTCTAACTCTTGAAGAATTTCATCTCCCAGAAGATTCCTAGTATCTGGCCTCCTGCTCCCTACGCCTATCTTCATTACATTGCATTTGCTTGGATTAAAATCTAACAACTATTTGTTCGACCATTCCTTCAGCTTGTCTAGGTCTTCTTAAACCCTCAAGCAGTCCTCCTCTGTCTTAATCCTTCTCATAATTTTGGCATCGTCGGCAAACATTGAGAGAAATGAATCTATACCCTCCGGGAGATCATTTACATATATCAGAAACAAGATAGGGCCGAGTACAGAGCCCCGTGGGACTCCACTCGTGACTTCATGCCAATCTGAAGTCTCACCCCTCACCGTAGCTCTCTGCTTCCTATTGCTTAGGTACTCCCTTATCCACTGGAGCACCTTACCAGCTACACCTGCCTGTCTCTCCAGCTTATGTACCAGCCTCTTATATGGTATTGTGTCAAAGGCTTTCCGACAATCCAAGAAAATGCAGTCCGGTCAGCCTTCTTTTTCTTGCTTAATCTTTGTCACCTGGTCGTAGAATTCTATTAAGCCAGTCAGGCAAAATTTACCCTCCCTGAACCCATGTTGGCGATTTGTCACGAAGTCCCTTCTCTCCAGATGTGTTACTAGGTTTTTTCTCACGATCTTCTCCATCACCTTGCATGGTATACAAGTCAAGGACACTGGCCTGTAGTTCAGTGCCTCTTGTCTGTCGCCCCTTTTGTATATTGGGACCACATTCACAGTCTTCCATATTTCTGGTAGGTCTCCAGTGACCTACTGTACACTATGGAGAGTGGCAAGCAAAGTGCCTCTGCACACTCTTTCAGTACCCATGGTGAGATCCCATCTGGACCAACAGCCTTTCTAACATCCAGATCCAGCAGGTATTTCTTGATCTTCTCTCTCGTAATTTCGAACCCTTCCAAGCCGCCTAGTTTACTTCCCTTTCTCCTAGCACAGTGACCTCACCTTGTTCTATTGTGAAGACCTCCTGGAACCTCTTGTTGACTTCTTCACACACCTCTTCGTCACTCTCTGTATACCTGTCCTCGCCTGTCCTAAGTTTCATTACCTGTTCTGTCTCTGTTGTTTTCCTCTTAATGTGACTGTGGAAAAGCTTTGGTTCGGTCTTGGCTTTGTTTGCTATATCATTTTCATAATTTTTCTTTGCTTCTCTTCTCACCCTAACATACTCACTCCTGGTTCTCTGGTATCTATCTCTGCTTTCTGGTGTTCTGTTATTCTGAAAGTTCCTCCACGCCCTTTTGTTCAGTCCCTTTGCTTCCATATATACCCTATTATACCATGGATTCTTCTTTTGCTTCTCGGATTTTTGCCTTTGGGCCGGGATGAACCTGTTTACTGCCTCCTGACACTTTTGGGTGACATAGTCCATCATATCTTGTACAGACTTATCTCTGAGGTCTGTGTCCTAAGGAATTTCCCTTAGGAAACTTCTCATCGCCCCAGAGTTCCCCCTTTCGGTATGCCAGCCTTTTGTTTCCTAGTTCTTTTTTGGGGGGAGATAATTTCTAGCTCTTCCAGTACTCAAAGTTCAATACACTGTGGTCACTCATTCCCAAGGGTGCTTTCATCTTAACTTCCCTTATATCCCACTCATTTAGGGTAAATATCAGATCGAGCATGGCTGGTTCATCTTCTCCTCTCATTCTTGTTTGTTCCTTGATGTGCTGGCTTAGAAAGTATTTTGTTGCCACGTCCAACAGCTTAGCTCTCCATGTTTCTGGTCCTCCATGCAGATCTCTGTTCTCCTAATCTATCTTCCCGTGGTTGAAGTCTCCCATGATTAGTAGTCCAGATCCATTCCTGCTAGCAACAAAAGCTGCTCTCTCTATTATGTTAATGGTGGCCATGTTGTTTCTATCATATTCCTGACTGGGTATTCTGTCATTTGTTGGTGGATTATATATGACTACGACTATAATTTTTTGTCCTCCAGTTGTTATGGTACCCCTATTATGTAGTCACTGAAACCTTCACAGCCCTGAATAACCATCTCCTCTAAATCCCAGCCTTTTCTTACCAGCAGAGATACACCACCACCGCCTCTTCCTTCTCTCTCTTTCCTCATAACATAATAGTCCTGTGGGAACACTACATTTGTTATGGTTTTTGTTAGCTTTGTTTCTGTGAGTGCTGTTATGTCTGGGTTTTCTTCTAGTACCCATTCCCCCAAGTTCATTTGCTTTATTTGTAATTCCCTCTATGTTTGTGTACATTGTCTTGAGGCTCACTTTCTTCTATCCCTTCTCAAATCCCCTCTTGGTGAGTGTTCTAGTGAGGGAAGCTGTTCCATGGGTGTGAGTATTTGTGAGGTGGATAACAGGGTCTCAGAGGATACTGGGGTGAGGAGCAGGGGGGTCAAGTGAAGGGGGGGGGGCACAGGGAGAGTATGAGATGAAAGGGGAGGGAGGACAGGAAGGAAAAGGTTGGGAAAGGGGACATGGCGGAAGGTGGAGAGGGGTAGCAGGGTGGGAATGGGGTGTGGGGGGAGGTAGATTTGGCTGAGCTTTTGAGTGGGGGCAGGGAGGGTATAGGGTAGGGGGGTTTTCTATGCAGAGGAGGGTGGTGGGGTTACCCTCCCCTCTGGTGTTATTGGGTAGCTGGTTGTGGGTTCCCCTCTCACCGCTGGGGATGTTGTGTTGGGAGCTGTGATTCCCTGGTTTTCTCCTTTCGCCCTGCACCTTTTCCTTGCTTCTGCCGCCATGGCTCTCTCCTCCCTCGTCATGTCCCTCTGGACAGAATACATTTTTTAATTCTCCCACATATTGCAGGTGGCTTTTCCTTGTTAGAATCATCTCCTTTGTGTTCTCATTTGCAAACACTATCTTTAACACACAGTCTCGGTCTTTGTTGTACCAACCTAGCCTGAAAACCTTCTCAATTCTATGCTCAGCCCCTTCCATCTCTAGTGCCTTCAGTATTTCATTCACTGCCGCGTTGTCCTTATCATTCCACTCTGTCCTATTTTAACCTTCCTGCTCTTTAATACCCACAGCTACCACTGATGTTTTTCTTTCCAGCAGCTTGCTAGTAGAGTATGCTACTTCCTATGAGGTGGCTGCTTTCGTGGCCACCTCCATCATTGTGGACATTACTTCAGAGTTATTTTTTTTTAGCATTTCTGCAAATGTTGCTTTTCAGAAATGTGTGTGTGTGTGTGTGTGTGTGTGTGTGTGTGTGTGTGTGTGTGTGTGTGTGTGTGTGTGTGTGTGTGTGTGTGTGTGTGTGTGTGTGTGTGTGTGTGTGTGTGTGTGTGTGTGTGTGTGCGTGTACACTGGCTAACAAATGCTATATGTAATGACTTGTAAATATTTTTCTCATAACAGAAGGTTTAGGATTTTCTGATATTTATTTCTCTCATTTTAGGGTCCTGGAGCTGACGGAATCTGGAGTGTCCAATTACTTGGAATATTCTGTAATTCCAAACTTTACAGCTTGCCTCAGTCCTCCTACAAAGATAACCATCAGCACATCCTTGTCAATAACCAACTTATGGGTAAGAATTTGTGAGAAGGAAATCCATTACATTATGTCAGTATTTTAACATAAAATTATATAAGAGATGACGTTCAACACTGATTTCTGCTAATTAAAAACTGTTCTCAATTTCAGGGCATTTTCGTGGTTCTTTATGGAGGATTGCTTGTTAGTCTGATTGTACTTTTTCTTGAGATACTCATCAATACAATTCCTCAGCTGCTGAGTTCATCAGTGAATGGCAACACTGTGGCTTAAATCCTTCATGCAGGGTATAATCTTTGAAATGTTCGACCTCTGAATAATGAAGATTTCATGTAAAAAAGGAATGTTCTTTACATTGCAAAATCTTAGTTCTAAATGGAGATATGTTTTAATGAGAAAAGTCTTTCACTTAAAAAGTAGAAAAATCTTTTATATATGTATTTTTTTTAATTACAGCTTTTGTTTGAAAAGGTCAAGATGATCAATTGTAGGTATTTAATTATTTATACCTCACGTTTAAACTGTTGGAATGAATTATAAGTTTGAATGGCAATAATAAAATTCAACAAGGCACTGAAACTTTTTCTCAGTAGACTTCATTGACGCCAATAGCACTTTCTGTACTTGCTCGAACAATAACATGTTTTATACCCAGTGGTGCCTGTTGTAATAATGCTGTACTGACAAACATATGCGTGTCTTACTGTCCTTTACCAATTTTTATTATAATTAATATATATTTATTATTATTATGTTCTTGTTCATATTATTGTTATAGAATAACTGTGACAGTCAAATGTGACTTATATAGCATTATAAAGTGCGGTCTACTTTATCAGTATCAAGCTTACTAACTTTAGGTTCTAATTGAATAATAGGTGAACAGGTAAATTAAGTAATAGGAAAAGTGCCCAATCATTTATGTCCCGTCTGGGATTCGAACCCGGAATTCTTGATTGTTTGTTGAGAACAAACCCTACTCTACCGGGATCTTGAAAGGGGTCTGGTAGAGAATTGTAGAATATATTTGTTGCTGTAATTTGATGGGAAAATTTAAATCATAAAATGCCATTTTAGATAATAACAGCAAAATTTCCATTCGTTTTAATAAGATATTGAAGAACTTGTATAACAATGCACATAACTGCTGGCTTTACATTATATATATATATATATATATATATATATATATATATATATATATATATATATATATATATATATATATATATATATATATATATATATATATATATATATATATATATGTCGTACCTAGTAGCCAGAACGCACTTCTCGGCCTACTATGCAAGGCCCGATTTGCCTAATAAGCCAAGTTTTCATGAATTAATTGTTTTTCGACTACCTAACCTACCTAACCTAACCTAACCTAACCTTTTTTTTTCGGCTACCTAACCTAACCTAACCTATAAAGATAGGTTAGGTTAGGTTAGGTAGGGTTGGTTAGGTTCGGTCATATATCTACGTTAATTTTAACTCCAATAAAAAAAAATTGACCTCATACATAATGAAATGGGTAGCTTTATCATTTCATAAGAAAAAAAATTGAGAAAATATATTAATTCAGGAAAACTTGGCTTATTAGGCAAATCGGGCCTTGCATAGTAGGCCGAGAAGTGCGTTCTGGCTACTAGGTACGAACATATATATATATATATATATATATATGTCGTACCTAGTAGCCAGAACGCACTTCTCAGCCTACTATGCAAGGCCCGATTTGCCTAATAAGCCAAGTTTTCATGAATTAATGTTTTTTCGACTACCTAACCTACCTAACCTAACCTAACCTAACTTTTTCGGCTACCTAACCTAACCTAACCTATAAAGATAGGTTAGGTTAGGTTAGGTAGGGTTGGTTAGGTTCGGTCATATATCTACGTTAATTTTAACTCCAATAAAAAAAAATTGACCTCATACATAATGAAATGGGTAGCTTTATCATTTCATAAGAAAAAAATTAGAGAAAATATATTAATTCAGGAAAACTTGGCTTATTAGGCAAATCGGGCCTTGCATAGTAGGCTGAGAAGTGAGTTCTGGCTACTAGGTACGACATATATATATATATATATATATATATATATATATATATATATATATATATATATATATATATATATATATATATATATATAGGCCCCATTTGCCTAATATATTTCATAATTATATATATACCTATAACCTAACCTAACTTTAACTTGTACCTAGTAGCCAGAACGTCGTACTCGGCCTACTATGCAAGGCCCGATTTGCCTAATAATCAAATTTTTCTGAATTTATATATATTTATCATATAATTCGGGCCTTGCCTATATAGGCCGATATATATATATATATATATAGGTATATATATATATATATATATATATATATATATATATATATATATATATATATATATATATATATATATATATATATATATATATATATATATATATATATATATATATATATATATATATATATATATATATTGACGGTAACGCGTTGGTGTTCGGCTGTTCAAAAGCTAGGGGTATGGCCTCGTCACATATTAAAAAAAAAAATAGAAAATCTGGAACTTCGTCTGTGGTAAGGTAAGGAGAAGACACACAAAACACAAGTAAATTTTAACAATGAAATTTTAATTACGTTAAAGAAAGCAAAACATGAATAAAATGGACATACAAATTCGTATAATAAAATCAATCAAAGTAATAAGAATAATCAAATGACAAAATGAAAAGTTACGTTAAGACAAGTGAACAAATAACAAGAAGTGCAAATAACGTAAATAGAGGTGCAGGAATATTGGCTTCAAGCTATCACTTCTCTTAGTACACGTAAGCCACAGCTTAGTCTACCAAGAAGACGTGTTAACCTTATGAAAGCACTGAACATTCTGAAGACTGAGGTCGAGGCGGCCCCAGACATCAAGTAGTATGGTGGGTGGAGTGCAGTTGCAGCTAGACTCGCAGCCAATCAGCGAGGAGCCGGCGACAAGACAGGTAGTTTGGCGGTTTGAGGTGGAGCAGGTGTTCCTGGCTGCATACGTTTTGCGCTCTGGCAAACCTTGCTGGTGTTGTCGTTGTTGGATTTTTCTTCCATAGTAATTTTATATAGATGTTTATATCGACGTCTTTTGGAGGGAAGAGCAGGCTCAATCTCTTGAAGGAGATTATCGTCACAACTCTCCCCCGAAGCCTGCGGTTCTGGAAGAAGTACGTCGTTATGTGGTGGAGTAATAGATGGAGTCGCTTCTACTTCATAAACTCTGGAGAGGGCATCGGCTATGGTGTTGTCAGAACCCTTGATATAGCGGATCTCCAGGTTGAAATCTTGTAAATACAAAGCCCATCGTAGAAGACGCTGGTTGGTGAATTGGGCTTGATGTAGGAAGCGGAGAGGGTTGTGGTCTGAGAAGATGGTTGTAGACCTGGCGCCTTGTAGGTACGGAGCGAAGTGTTGGAGGTTCAGGACGATGGATAGTAGCTCCTTTTCAATAGTGCTGTAGTTCCTCTGGTGTGGTTTCAATTTGTAGCTGTAGTAGCTGACAGGTAGAACCTCCTCGCCTCGTTGTTGCATCAGGACACCACCAACGCCGGTACCACTGGCGTCGACATGAAGGACGAAAGGCTTGGTGATATCTGGTGAGGCGAGAATGGGATTAGAACAGAGGAGGAATTTGAGTTGTTCGAAAGCAACGGTTTGCTGCATGGTCCAATTATACCGTTGCTTGGGACTGGTTAATAGAATTAGAGGTGTGGCGACTGTACTGAAATTCCTCACAAACCTACGGTAGTAGGAGGCAAGACCAAGGAAGCGCAGGAGCTGCTTCCTGGTGGTAGGCTGTGGATACTGTTGGATGGCTTGAGTGTGTGAGTCTAACGGAGCTAGGCTGCCACTCCCAATAACATGACCCAGATAACGCACTTTACCTTTCGCGAAGGTGGACTTGCCCAGGTTGATGGTGAGGCCGGCTGTCAGGAGCTTGGAGAACAGACGTCGCAGCTGGAGCAGATGTTCACTCCAGGTGTTGGAGGCTACGACGATATCGTCCAGGTAGGCGTATGTGTTATCCAAGCCCTGGATGACACGGTTGACAGCTCTCTGAAAGGTGGCCGGGGCATTACATAGTCCGAAAGGAAGGCGTTCATATCTGAAAAGTCCAAAAGGAGTGATGAAGGCAGATATCTCTTTAGCTCGCTCCGTTAGACACACTTGATAGTACCCCTTAAGCAAGTCCACTTGGGACAAGTACTGGGCACTACCAATGGCGTCAAGGATGTCATCTATCCTTGGCAAGGGGTAAGCATCCTTGACAGTTACATTGTTGAGTTTACGATAGTCAGTACATAACCGCACCTTACCTTGGGGTTTGGGCACCAAGATACAAGGTGAGGCCCAGGGGGACTCACAAGGTGTAGCCAGTCCATGATCCAAGAGGTACTGCACCTCAGCACGCATGACTTCCTTCTTGCTCGGGCTGATTCGGTAGAAGGGTTGACGAATCGGCCGGGTGTCGGGGAGCAGTTGGATGTCGTGCTGGGTAACATTACACTCTTGGGGGTCATCTCGGAACAACTCCTGATGTTCTCTGAAGATCTTGACAAGAGGTGCACTAGGATTATCCTGAAAGTATTTGGGAAGATCATTAAGGATTTCGGAATTAGAAAGCGCTGACTCCTTGTCAGTGCTTTCGGGAGGAGAAGCTGGGAAGGTCTCACTGTGGATGTAGGGTTCTGTGAAGGTGGAATAATTAATTAGGACAGTGGGAGGAGTACCATTATATTGCTTCAGGAGGTTGACGTGGCACAGCTGGGTCTTCCGCCGCCTATCTGGAGTCTCTATGACGTAGTTGTTGTTATTTCTGCACTCTTTGACGCGGTAGGGTCCTGAAAACCTGTTTTGTAAAGGTGAACCTGGGATAGGGAAGTATGCTAGGACGAAGTCTCCCGGCTTAAATTTTCTTACTTTGCTGGTCTGGTCGTAATGAGTCTTCATCCTCTCCTGGGCTTTCAATAGATTATCATGGGCAAAACGGTGGACTCTCTCTAGAATGTGTTGAAGGTTTTGAAGAAACTGGGGCACATTCTGATGCTCACTGAAGGTGGCATCTCGGAGAGAGTCTTTGAAAGCCTTAAGGGGAGTACGGCACTTACGGCCGTAGAGCATCTCATAAGGAGATACTCCTAGGGACTCATTGGGGAGACTTCTGTAAATACACATTATAAGGTCGATTTGCTTATCCCAATCCTTAGAGGTTT